CGTCGAAACGTGTTCGTTTTACACGGAGCCATCTGTGTTTTTCGTCTACACATGAGGTGCTGTGTAAAGTTAACACGCTACACCGTGTTTGCCTTCCGAGAAGCACGGTTCAACGTGTTCCTTACGAAACATGGCGGCCAGCAGCCGAGAACAGGCGAGGGACGAGCCCAGCCAGCCGCGCCTTTCAGCCGAACTGAAAGCATACAGGACGCGTTCGTTCTCGTTCGATGTCTTTTATGCACAGTAAACAGTCTCCGAGCGGCGGACGTAGCTACGTGCAAAGGTACCTACGTGCATCGTCGGCGGTCGGTGGCGTCGGCAGCTACGACAAAACCGCTAGACAAAAACAAAAAAAAAAAACGAATATTGAACTTACATGGATAAATAGCTCAAGCAAACTCTTGTAATCGGGCGGTAATTTGCGCCACCTAGTGCGATTTCTAGCAACCAATGAAAAAAAAAGCAGGAGTCGATTTATACGCTGGGAACTATCACGAGTAGACTGCAACTCTACATACATCACAGACAACACGAGCACCACGTAGGACTCAGCAGCGACACATACACAAACACAACACCGACACTACGCCCGACACTTCCTACTAACAACGGACTCTCCCCGCGGCGTATATATGCTTGACATGTACGGGTGAGCTCTTTGGTCGCTGACCGTTACCGATTTATAGAAGACACAAAACACGGCACAATGGACAGCCGTATGTAAGAACTGTTTGCATTTAAAAAGTATGGAGGCAAAATCTGTAAAATGAGTCCTTTCCGAAAAACAGCGATGTACTAACAATAAATCTTAAACCGGCCATGAAAAAGTTCAAATTTTTGTTATTTTCATGCTCGACCAGTGTTATGAGCAGTCCGACTCGCTTGAATCAGATAAAAAAACAAATGATTGGGATTTTATCAGTACGTATTCAATAATCAATGGAAATTATACTTGCGCAAGGCATTTTTTATATATATTATTGTGAAGGACATCCGCCCAACACTTCACTTCCGCTAGTTGTAGTACGCGTACGGGAGCAGACGCCTTCACTTTTGGGGCGTTTTGATGCAGATTGTTGTCGTATGTCGTGTTGGTGTCGAGCGAAGCGGTGAGGCTTGGGAGTTTGTGACCGGTGTTATTCGTGATCATTATTGTGGCGCTGATGCGTTTTCTTTTTTTTTAAATATTTCTATATAGCCACAGTGAAAATTCACGAGCCCGTGGCACTGCATTATGCTAAAATCGCGAGCTCCTTCTCTGTTGACGTCGTTTTTCTGGTAGCACTCGTGGATACTGCAAGCGTTTAAACAGTGCACAGTCTCGCCTACATCCGCGGTGACGTACTCGACCTGTTGAAACTTATTGCTTGCGTCATTTTGGAGCACGCAAGGCAATTATCTCGCTGCTCTGGTTTCGGTTATAAAAGCAAGGCAAAACGCTCGTAGTTCCCGCCCTCAGTACACGTTGGACATCTTCCACACTTTGACACTGGATAACTGGATGAACGAGGATTTACATTTACTTCAGAGGTCACACTCGCCGCTTCCTCACCGTCGAGCAGCAGGATCAGCTGGCGACAAGCCGCGTATGAAAGGCTCGAGCATCAACAGCCCAAGTGCACTCGGTGCCGATGCGGGCGATGCGGGTTTCTGTCAACCGCTAGCCCAGCACAGACCGTGACCGTTCCAGCTCTTCGTCATGACGCGGTGTTGCAGAAAGCAGCGTATAATACCACTACACGGACCACCGAAGCGAACGCACTGTTATCGTAAATCTTGGCTTGTGATTGCGCCTAAATTTGTAAATAATCTTATTCTTTTTTCTGGAGACGCAAAAGAAGGGCATAACAAAATCGTTTGCATATTCCGCATACCTCGCAAAAGCATCAGTCACCTTGCGAGAAGCGCAAAACACGGTGTCCGCACCGTCCTGACTTCCCAGTCTTTTACCTGCTTTAGAGCAGTTTGTACCTGTTAGTAGGCATGTCTACTGAAATTGGAACTTGAAACTTGGGGCAGTGCCAGAGGGAAAAGAGACAAATTCGGGCCTCTTCCCAATGTAAAGAAAAACCACTATGTTCTCTACGTAAAAAATTGGTCTCAGTTCATGCATCTGTGGGCAGGTAGAAAATCTTGCCCTAGTTTATTCACACCGCATGATGAGCGCAACAAACTCACACGAGTCACACGAGATTTACAGGAAAACATCGGTGGTGACTTAAGTTTCCCTGAAATTCTGTATAACCGGTCGTTTGCGGGACCGAATCATCTACTCGAGCGGTGTGCGTCGCTGTGCGAACACGTCGCTGTGCAAATGCAGTCTAACGACACGAAGCATAGAAACGGCAGATTTAGGGAAACTATCCGAAGTCCCTTGTTCAATTAAAACGACGTAATTTTGTTGAAAACGTCCGCAGCATTTTACTCACGGTATGCGTCGGGAATCTTCCACATTTTGAAACGGAACGAAGGAAGATTTACTAGTAAGAACGCTCGCTGCGTCCTCCCCGACCAGCTGGACCGGATCAGCTGACGACGACGGGGCTAAACCCGTCAAACGCAACCCCACAACAACCAATATGAGCTCCGCGTTAGTGCGGGTTTCTACCTACAAGCACCGCACCACACACCACGAACGTTTCGGCCCTTTCTCGCATCGCCGTGTTGCCCCAAACAGAACGAACAGAACGCAGCGCTGTCGTGAACCTTGGCTTGTGGTTGCGCACTCGTGGACCCTGTGACTCCCCTCGCTTTCAAAGCACACACGACGAATGGTACTTTCCGTCTTCCGGGAACATCACAGGGGCACTTCTCCGGTCACGTCTTCACTATGTGCTCGCAAACTGCGAAGCTCTATGCGAAGCTTCTCGCGTCCCGTCAAACCAAAACAATAGCGGCTGCCAGAAATTTCTCCGGTCAAACAAAAAGAACGAAAGCCAACCGGCTCTTGCTTCCACCGTACATCGACGTTGCGCTTGCGCCATGGCCAGATCGGCCAGATCGCTTGCAGTTGAAGCAGTTGAAGTGGTTGAAGGTTGAAGCAAAAACGAAACCAACTGCAATGTCACGTGTTCACATCGAAGACACGCTTTTTATATCCATTTTAACTGTTTTGAACGAATAATTGGACCCATGACTTTATTTGTGGTGTGTAAGAAACTATTATCAAGAGCCCTAAACTAAATGCAAACATGGGCGACATGAGGGAAGCCGCATTGCCATCGACCAGAAAATGGCGGCGAGCCACGGTAAGCGCGGGTTTCGCCAACGTCCCGCGACATGGCGTAATTGCTTTTGGTGCATATCTGTTTCTGAGACATGTTTCTTTCCGCGGCATTTGTCTCGACGGTCCTTTCTAAGTGTGTCCCCAAGCATTCCGGTGCTTCGATAGCCGGCAATGCCGCGGTCGTCGCCGGAGGCGATGCGTGTTATCGAGATCGGCTACACGGTTATGCGTGTATGACCCAACCAAAACACGTTTTTTACAACCTCGCATGATATCTGAACGTATTATCCGTTACTCATCGTGTAAATTTATGGTAATTTGTGTAAATAGCGTGTTTCTCACCCCAAATATTCACCAAATACACGGCACTTGCTAACAGTGCACACATGATCGCAAGCAGTTGAACAGTGTCTTTGGTGTCCGCATTCTTTCCAAAGCAAGAGAGTTGCACACAAAGCGACCGCAACCTTTCTTCAGCTGTTTACGTAGGGCATCTGCTATATCATGCACACGTTCTTGTGCCCTCCAACTTTAGTGTTCGGGCAAAGGACGGACGTCTAGACAGGTTGTTTCATCGTTCTTTCAGAGGGACCACTGAATAGAAAAAATTGCAACTGAGAAAATCGCAGTTTTTTCGCCGAGGACGTTTTGAGGAGTAGGTCAAGGGGTTTCAGTGCTGCTTGCCAACAGGAACGAGCGTGCAGTTTATTGATGGCAAAGTCAGCGAATGCCGCCACAACAGCGTGCGTGGACCGTTTGTTGTGCAGTCTTGTACACGTTACTCATAAAATGGTAATCTATTACAATTACAATTACACTTCATTAAAAAGTATTCAACTCGATTATTTTATTACCTGAAAATAAATTAGCCGTTACTTGAAAACTGTTTTATTTTTAGAGCGCAGCTCTTAGGCGTCCGTTTGCGGCTGGAGCGGCGTCGCCGTTGCCGTAACCGTAAGGTCACGTGACCCTCACAGGTCACGTGACCCCCCCCCCCCTTTCCGAGACCACGTGACCCCCAAGGTCACGTGACCCCCGTGAGGGGAGGAGGAGAAAGGAGGGGTATCCCCTCCCCTGTGTACCCTTCCGTCCTCCTCCTCAAGAGCTGCGCTCCAATTCGGCGGTACAGGGAGTTCTGAACGGCTTTCATTTTTGTATTACTTCACGTCTGCCAACTGTCAGATTTTTCTGACTGTTTGAAAACGGTAGGGGTTTCGTACTGTCTAATATTATAATATAATCACCGAATTATACACCAATTTCGGTAAACCATCCTCCTGTCAAAGATATGCTTCGATAATTACTTGGTAGAAAACTTTAAATTACACCGCGACAAAGACCCCTCTTGGTCAGTGTCGTTGCATGCGAGAATATTTGGGACAGTACAAGCGGCAGTAGGCTGAGTAAATTGAGAAACATTCCAAACTCCTATCGTTATGTGTCCTTTTAACCAGTCTTCCCACGTGTACTCCACCTGGCATAGCTCCCGAGTTTTATGCAACTGGTTACCGCTGAAAAATTCCGCCTGGTCCGGTATTCAATACCGAGACCTCTTCAAGACTGGCGGAGAGCTTTACCAACTGAGCTAACCAGGAGCTAGAAGTAAGTATAGGGCGACCGGATGTTAACAGTTTCCACCATCCTAGACAACTAGACTGGCCGCCACTAGCCCAGTCGCCTAGAGGGAACGAGTTGAAGTGAATTTATTATTACCATTTTTTACAATAAAAAGATTATATAAAACATTTCTACACTCGTCCAAACGACCGTGCAGAAACGCAAGTTCGCCAACCAGTACCTGGAAAGCTTCGTACGGGCCACTGCGCTGCTGTCACACAGGGGCAACTCAAGCACGTTGAGTACGCCCCTGTCGTTCTTCCTGCCCAACTCGACGGCCAAATACTACCTGTACCTGGGCTCCCTCACGTTCCCCCCCTGTACCGCTGGGGTCACCGTCATTGTGTTCAGCCAGCCCGTAGACATCGGAGAAGGCCAGGTAAGTTATTACGGAGGAGATGCAGTCACCTGGTGAAATTTCAACCCCTTAAACACCCGAGACTTAGGGACAAAAAACCTGCGTGTGTGTGTCCACTTTCTTGGTCCCAAGTCTTATGTGAAAACTTTGTCATGTTATATAGGGAGGCAAAGGGCTCTATTGGTGGTGCACCTATCGTGATCAAATTTGGTGAGTTTAGGTTCATGGGGGGGAAATGCAAGAAAATAAAAACGTGATCCTTCCGGGTGGCGCACAAACTAACCCAATCCCGAAATACGTGAGTCAGGATCCCCGCTGCAAATTCTCTCGTTTCTCCGCCGTCTTCAGAATTTACTGCATTCAGAACCCCCATTAGACCTAGCCTCTTATTAGTTTCCCCAGCTTTTCTCTCAAGTCTCGTTAAGTGATGACGGACAGAACGGAAAGCTACCAACACAACTAGATGAGATAAGAAACACTCTAAAAAAGGGCAGAACAGTTTAACACTGCAAAAGCGCAGCCTATAGAGTTCATCCATACCTTAGGTCTCAAACTCATTTGAGTGTGGGCACCGGTGCAAGCACCACCAAAGCAACGAAGCCCGGAAATTCAAAGATGCCTAGGACCGGTGAGTACAATTTGCAATAATATAAAATTCTGGCATCTTACTATCGAATCCCCGCAGGGGGCACCTGTGAAAGCAGGTGTTTGGAGAGTGGCGTCTCCACGTACCCCGAGCCCCGCAGGGGGCGCCTGCACCTTGTGTGCTAGGTGCTTGGTGAGTAGCGTCACCACGGACCCCAGCCACGTGGGCTACCATACCCGCACGCAGGGGGCACCTACTTTAGAGTAGGTGCTTGGTGAGTGGCGTCACTACGAACCCCGAGCCATGTGGGTTCGCCCACCCACGTCTGGCTGTGCGTGGCGTACCTGTGTCCGGGGAAAAGGGGACCCTGGTGGTTGAGCTGAGCCCGGGGTATGTTTGGACCCTTCGGGGCCCCCCGGGCGAGGCAATACACCGCTTCGGCCCCTACTTCTCGTAGACGGGTGTCCTGGCTTGGCCCGACCAGGATGATTCAGCCAGTCGCCTCTCCTACCCTATTCTTCCTTCTTTTACTTTTCCTCCCACCTCTTTCTCTTCTACACTCTCTTCCTTCCTTTTTCACCTTCTTAGGCGGCAAGGGCCAACCTTGAGTGGAAACAGGTCCTGTCCCTGCAACCACACTAGGGTATAGTGCCCGGGCAGCACTGGTAGAGTAATTGTGTCAGCCAAGCCCATCTTGCTATGGCACATTACCTACCCCCTTGTTGGGCTCCGTGGTGGGCGGTGCACCCGGGCACTGAACATTCCTCCCCATGTTATGGGTTCTCGCGCTAAAACCTCCCTCGATCGGCCCCTGGAAAGGGTCCGCACCGAAGTCCAAGCCACAAAGAAGACACCACCTACACCTACCAGATTCCCGAAGTTTTTGGTTCTTCACTCTGAAAGTGAGAAACAGCTGTCGAAATTATCTCCATTCCTTGTCGCAAAAACACTCGAAGGTGTTGTCGGAAAGGAATTTAAAGCCAAGAAAATGCCATCAGGTGACCTACTTGTCGAAATTGAATCAAGTGAGCAAAGTGCTGCTCTCCTTGCCTTGAGGACTGTAGCTGATCACGAAGTAACGGTCACACCTCACCGCACCTTAAACTCCATCCAAGGAGTTATCTCCGAGGATGCCCTTCTTGAGACGAGTGACACCGAAATAGTTGAGGGCCTTTCTGATCAAGGAGTTATTGCTGCAAGGCGCATCTCTTTCCGTCGTGATGGCCAAGAACGTAAAACCAAGCACATAGTTTTAACTTTCCAATCCACCACACTTCCTGACGCGGTGAAGGCTGGGTACCTGCACTGCAGGGTTCGGCCTTATGTTCCAAACCCTCGGAGATGTTTCAACTGCCAGCGGTTTGGCCATGGCTCCCAGCATTGCCGTGGAAAAGCCACATGTGCGAAATGTGCCAAATCTGACCACCCTGCAGAGTCCTGTACCAACGACCCAGACTGTGTAAACTGCGGCGAACCCCACCCTGCATACTCTCGATCCTGCTGAACGTGGAAGGAAGAAAAGGAACTACTTACTCTTAAGGTCAAAGAAAATCTCTCCTACCCAGAGGCACGCCGTTGTTTCGCATTCTTGCGCAAGGGCAGCTATTCGCAGGTGGTGCAGCGGGGACCTGCACCACTGATGGTAGCGGTGGCGACCCAAACGTCCTTTCTGGACTATGGGAAGCCACGGCAGTCCCCTACGCCCCAGCTGAAGATTCAGCTCCCAGGGCATGCAATCTCGGCTGGGCGGTCCACGGACCCTCCCAGCCAGAGTGCGAACCCTCGCACTCCAACAGGGCAACAGCCTGTGTCCTCTCAGGCTGTTTCCCAAACCCAGGATGGGCCGGTGGCTACCGCAACCGTCCCTCCTCCGCAGTCTCCTTCCAGGGAGAAGGGTGAACACTCTCGCCCACACTCCCTGGAGAGAACATCATCGAAGGAGCGGCATGGCTCTCGTGCTGCTCCTGCAACATCTAAGGGGCAGGAACGGGTGCACTTGGGCGATTCTCCGCCCAGCACCTCCTCCGCCCACTTGACTGGGGCTGGTCGTGGACGGGGCATGGCGCCCCATCCTCCGAGCCTGCCCAAACCAGCAGCAAAGGCCTCGCCTCAAGAGGTAGAGGCAATGGATGAGGGTACAGAAGTCTCCACTCATGCGTCTGAGCAAGACAACATGGAGTGGCAGACTTCTAAAAGTAAGCACAAAAACAAGAAACCTGTAATCCCTCCAAAGTGACGTTGATTTTTTGTTGCCATATCCGGCAGATTTACAACTTTTTACATATTCTTAACTAGTTTTACTCTTTAGTCTAGCAACTTTTTAACTTCTTTTTAGAGGAATGACCAACTTTCACTTTATGCAGTGGAACTGCCGCGGTCTTTTACGCAATATTGACGATGTTAATTTTTTTATGGATGATCTACATCCTATTGCTCTCTCCTTAGAAGAGACTCATCTTAGCGATCATCATAAGTCAGTGTTGTGTCGCCATCAAGTTTTTAGAAAAGATCGCCCCGCAACTAATTCATCTGGTGGAGTGGCAGTTGTTGTCCAAAATGGGGGTAGCCTGCTCTCAGGTTCCTCTCATTACGCCTCTTGAGGCTGTGGCTGTGCGCCTTCTTTTGGACCGCCTTATCACTGTTGTGTCTATTTATATTCCACCAAGCATTCCGCCGCATCTTCATGATCTCCAAAGACTTATTGCACAGCTTCCTCATCCTTTTTTACTTTTAGGAGATTTTAATGCTCACCACCCCTTGTGGGGTAGCGCCCGTCAAGACTCACGTGGTGGGGATCTTGAGCGGTTTTTATTAACATCTGGACTATGCCTTATGAATAAGAGAGAGCCAACCTTTTTTAGTGCAGCTCACAATTCATTTACATCTATTGATCTTTCTTTCTCATCCCCCTCATTGTTTCCTTTATTTACATGGAAAGTTTTAAATAATCCCTTCGGAAGTGACCACTTTCCAGTCGTCCTGGAGAGTTTGGTTTCTGTACCAAGCCTTATGAAACGTACCCCTCGTTGGAAACTGGAAAAAGCAGATTGGAGTCTTTTTAGCCAAAACTCGGACCTAAAACCTCGCATGTTCCGGTCCTTAACACATGATGAAGCCACAACATACATTACTGAACAGATAATTAATGCCGCTTTTCGTTCCATCCCTCAAACTTCCTGTAAAATAGCCAAAAAATGTAAGCCATGGTGGAATGACGATTGTTCCATCTCCAAGAAGAAACAGGATAAAGCTTGGGGCGTATTTCGCAGGTATCCAACATTTGTGAACTTAATAGAGTTTCAGCGAAATAGGGCTCAAGCTCGTTGGACAAGAAAGCAGGCCAAGCGGAAGTCTTGGAGGGGATATTTGTCCTCAGTAGTAGCTATGTCCCAGCAAAAGAAGTGTGGGACCGACTTCACAAGGTCGAAGGCAGATACCGTTGTTTCACAGTTCCCCTCTTTCCATCTGCATCCTCATTGCACGACCAGGCTAATCTGTTAGGTGCACATTTTGCAGCCGTTTCAAACTCCTCGCACTACTCTTCGGCATTTTTGAAGTTAAAATCTGATGTAGAGAGAATGAGAATCAGCTTGGCAGGAGGAGCCTCTGCACCCTACAATCAACCGTTCACAATGGTGGAGCTCCAAATGGCTTTGAATATTCGGAAGCACTCTTCCCCAGGGCCTGACCATATACACTATGAGATGATTCGACATTCATCGAAGGAATCACTCTCAGCTCTCCTAATTTATTTTAATGGCCTGTGGAGAGATTCATGCTTCCCTGACGAGTGGAAACGGGCAGAAGTGATTCCGTTACTGAAGCCTGGAAAAGACCCTTCCCTCCCGTCAAATAACTGGCCAATAGCATTGACAAGTTGCCTGGGAAAAACGTATGAAAGGTTAATCAACAAGCGTCTTGTTTACTTCCTTGAGCAAAATAATATTTTGGATGTAAATCAGTGTGGCTGTCGACCTGGACGCTCCACTACCGACCACTTAGTTCGGCTGGAGACTTTTGTACGGAAGGCATTTGTCAACAGGCAGCATTGCGTATCGGTATTTTTCGACTTGGAAAAGGCTTACGATACCACTTGGCGACATGGCATCCTGCGTGACCTTTTTGAATATGGAGTACGCGGCAGATTACTTCACTGCATCAAAAACTTCTTATGTGATCGCTCTTTTCGTGTACGGCTAGGTACAACACTTTCCGACTTGTTTGTTCAGGAGAATGGGGTTCCTCAGGGTGGAGTCTTGAGTGTCACCCTCTTTGCTGTAAAAATTAATTCTCTATGCCGTGTTATACCTCCCTCCGTATCATACTCCCTTTATGTAGATGATATTCAAATTTCTGTAGCATCGTGTAATATGTCTAGCTGTGAAAGGCAGCTGCAGCTAACTATAAATAAAATGACTAAATGGGCAAATGAAAA